CACAATACTACGGCAAACCGAAATCAGGGACTTGGTGCTTGAGTTAAATCTTTTGCCGTTTTAAACCGAACAAAATGTTTAATTGCCTGATATAAATACAGCTTACCACAAGGTGGAGACATAGCAAATCTGTCACAAGAGGTACACCAGGATCTAAATGTATTAAAATTCAACATAAAAGGTGTGCTTAATTTAATGTTGTATGGAAGAACACATAAACAAACAAGCAAAGTTTGGACTTTTAAAACTTTCATAGAAAGCATGATTAGTACTCTCCACACACGTATGTTTAGAGTACTTTAGACTCAGTTTATGCAAGACAATGGTTTTTTTTGTGATTTGATGACAAGTTATTCTGGCACCATTTTCTTTTATATCTTTTACATTAGAAGAATGATACATGACCTCTGTTGTATAACTTTGGAGACAAAATCAACCATACACTAAATAAAAATAAGTTGCATTTTGTGACATCCATTTGACTCAGTCAATGAAAAGAAACTGCTCCAGGATGTGCTGGAACGTATTAATTAGCCTGAAACATATTTTGATGATCAGTGAACAATTGTGATGTGGTTCTAATAATGTTTAATATTATGTCAATGCTCTTTTCCTGCTCACCCTGTTTGCAGCAACTTAACCTTTAGAATCATTAAGAGCACAGTGAAGAAGTATTTGTAACTGCATGTAATAAAGTGTAATTAGTCTGAAATATACTATTTGTGATTCATTGCAGTTTTGTCAGTCCCTTATAAATGTACATAAATAACTTATGTGCTCTGAAATATGAAGTGATATAATTTAGATCTATCTATTCTTAACATTTATTATATATAGGAAAATGAAACTGTCATTTATCTCATCCTAAGAAACTGTATCTGCAGCCAAACAACAATGGCCAATAACTTAATAACTCTTGATCAGTATGGCTGGAGGTACAAACTGATGCCCGTGGTTTGCATCATTTTCCCAATATGTTTCTGAAAGGGAACTAAAAATTGAGCCAACGTTGCAGCAGGAGAAGGTTGATCAGCTGGAGGATTAAGGTCGAATTGAAATGACAGGGGTTGTATCTGTTGTATTTGACTCAACTAAGATTTGAACAATATCATGCAGCAGCAAGAATTCACAGGAAACACAGGGAAGATTTTAAAAATATTAGTTGTGAAGATTTCTTGTGGGTCAAGAAGATCAGCAGTCCTTATTTTGTCCCATAAAGAAACCTTGGTCCTTCCTTTCCTCAGGTCTTTTCCTAATAAACATCAACTGTCACTGGTATCACCTCCTCTCCATACTTACTTGCTGGAAACTTTCTGTGAAGCCATCAAATGTTGCATTAATGTTGATGACTAATGATGATGCTATCATTCTTCTGAGCAAGGCAGGAGCTAGTGTGAGGCCAGAAAGTTACAATCTTCTAGGCTAATAATCAGAGTAGAGCCTAACTGTTTACTGCTGATTTGGGTCTTTTTCTCCTCATTTCTACTCTGTTCTTTGGTCTTAAAGTTCACCCCACTATGGAGCAGTAACTGCAAAGCATAAATTGCCTAAATGAAAATTGGTAAAGTTTATCAGTCGGATTGTTACAAATAAATGTTTCTGTTGTCTGCTCTTGTATGCTCATTTATGCTCATCTTTCTCTATTCTTCACTAACATCTATACAGGGTAAACAACACAAATACTGCTTCAACACTGTAGCTAAATATTTAACAAACTTTTTCCGAAATGCTCAAGGAAAATGTTTGAAGTCAAATTATTCCATTATGGTGGAGGAGGTTCAAGGTATCATTCTCAGATTGTGGGTTAAAAATGATTATCTCTTGCAGTTCCATGGATAAATAATTTTAAGATGGAAAAAAATTAGAATCTGATCACTTAAGCTAAATATTTTGCATGGCTTTAATAGTAAAGCACAGTTGCCACATCAACTTTGAATGAACACCCAGGATTCTAATAGTGATTGCAATCCTCTTATACAAAACATGCCAATAAAAATGTTAGAATGTTAGGTTTGAATACAACTATAGTAGTGTGATTATCACTTACATTAAATATTAGGTGCTGAAGTACTGACACTAGATAAAATTGTAACATAAACAGGTTGCACTCTACAGATATGGTTCAGCTTTCTTTTATTTTTATGGCAAATTATTACTTTAGTCAATTAGTCTTTTGCATAAAAGGCGTCGTTAGACATTACAAAAAAGAATTTATTTACAGTCTAGTAACAAAAGTTGTTTCAGTGTTGTGCACTCACATAGACATTTCCAATGTGCTCTAAGAAAGTGTACTTCCTTTTCACTGCTTGGCAGATAATAATGTTAACAGCAGCATGCCAAGGTTTTAACAACCATGATAGAACAAGTGAGTCACATTTTAGAGAAACTGCAATGTGGATAATGTTCTTGAGCTCCTTATATGTATGGAGAATGATCAGGGATTAGATGTGAAATAGAGAGGCTAGTGGCCAAAAGTAAATGAGACTGAATTTAAAATCTAATCCCAGATTAAACACGTGTTTCAGAATCACTAATATACAAAATAGCTGTGTCAAACTAATATTTACAAAAGTATGTTACATATACACATTTCTGACCTGTGGTTGTGTTTGTTATTGGAAAAGAAAACAGAGTTTCCATCTGATCAATTATAAATGTAATACTGAGACACAAGTAGGCAGGATCTTGAATGCAAACTCCCACACACACCTACTTGCTCTAAAAACTATACTTGAAAAATTAAGTTGTAGATTTTTTGAGTTGCTGAGATGTTTTTAACAGTACTTAAACTATGCAGTCAAAAAATAAAATTCATGCGCAGCATGGGAATTGCATTCAAAGCTCCAGTACCATAAACACTGACACTAAGTGAATCATTATTTCAAGGTGATGATAAAAGACACTTAACAAAAACAAAATCATCTAACCAGATCTATTTAACAATTAAAACAAGTCAGTTGAAAAACATGACAGATTTATTATGTTTTTGGGAGCTTTTTTGCCAATGTAATCCATATTGATGTTTGGACTATCTTGACTTACCTCTTTCTAAACAATTTTCAAATGTATCATTGTTGAGATTTGCATTTTGAGTCACTGAAGAGTTTTAATCGCAATGGTGCATAGCTATGATTAGCCATCTGCCAAATTCCTAATCTCAAGCAGACCATAAGAAGATCCTCAAATATCAGTCTGTATTGTGAATGCCTACATGTAAAGTGTTAAATATATAAGAATAGGATTTATTCTAAGGAATTCTGGGAAAATAAAGAAAATAACATGTTTATAAAATGCTTCCCCAATTCTCTATCATTCATTCATGAAGGTACTGAATTGTGCTCTTATATGGCTGTGCAACATGCCGATGCCAAATATCCATTCTTTATGTATAAAGCAAAGAAGTGAATGTTTTTGGGTTATTGAAGTTCAGTATTGAGCATATTAGAGCCAAATCCAGTCTGCTCCCATCCAATACTTATTCATTCTTTAGCTGGGGGATCACTAGGTTATGCTCATGGAATGAAACCCTGACTAATATTCCCTCCAATTGCAAGGGTGCTTTACCTTTTTGAAATGTGGAAAATTATTTTTAAAATAATATTTTTGTGGCTGAAACATAGTCTGCAGCTTTTTTAATAAAAATCTAAATGTCAATGTTTGAAACATTCTGGCCTACTGATATACCTGTAATACAAAGTCAGTAGGAGAATTACTGGAAATATTTCACAACTAAAATTGTGTTGGAATATTTGAGATACATCATTTGAATAAAACTGTTGTATGAAACAACATAATCATCATTCTCACATATTCCTTAACCTGCAACTTTTTTCATGAACTAACAGGTTGTTCTGATGACTCTAGAAAACTACTGGAAGATCAAAATGTTACTGAATTCTTCAGGAGTCTTGGTGATAAATTTCCATTTATATTGCTTATTAGACCAGAATGGATACAAGTGAGTAAAATGTTTAATACAAGAGATTAATTATTATAAGTTGGGAAAACCTAAACAAACTGATGGTAGTTTAGAACTTTATAGGTCCATTATTAAGTGTATTTTGTATTTTATGTCAGTGCTTTTCCTAGGAATGTCTTTTTCTGGGAGGAAATGGCTGGACATTAACTCTACTGTAGATTCAAATTGTGTGACAGCTGTATAGTGAGCCGATCACTGCTTCAAAATGTCAATAGATTACAACTGTTAAATTAAGAAGAAGATTTAATCAAAATCTTCGCAACATGCACTATATTCTCCAATCAAAATCCAAATGAAAAGAAATGCATTTTCCTTACTGAAATACTCAAAGAAAAAAAAGCGCATATCAGTTTCTGCAATTGAATTTGGCAGTTTCACCTCCTGTTACTGACAAGGTTGGCTCTTTCTGTTAAGCCCAAAACAGTCAGAGACAAAAGTGAATCAGGCCAATTGGAACAATAATGAACTAATAGCTTTGTCATTGATGATTCAGTGAAAATCTTGGCCACCTTGATGACTGATGTTTTCACACCTTAAAACATGGGGAGTTTAATTTTTTTTATTGGGCAGAAAATATCAGGGCACATCACTTAAAACAGGGGTGTCTTCTCCCAAACTGGAAACAATGGCAACCACACGTAAGGACTCAAAGTAAGTTGGAAAATGGTTGATCTCAATTTCAATTTATCCATGGTCTTTTTACCATTGCCTGCTTGACGTGGCAATAAATTTCTCAAAATCCAACTTTTCTCCCTTTTATAAGAATTTATAAGAAACTGTAGATATCAGTATAAAGGAAATATCTCTGCTTTGCGCTCACATCAATCTCTTCTTTTTATGAAATGACCAAATGGAAGTATAGCACCCTGCAATATAATAGCTATGTCTTGTTGAAAACAAACCATTATATAGTCATCTCCATTCCATCCCATTTACTGAAAAAGACAACTTTTGAAAGTTTTGGATATCATTCTTTTGATTGAACATTTTTGCTTTACATCAACACACAGTGTTGCAGCAATCACTTATATGGCCAGCTAAATGTCCGCCCAGTGATCTGATAAAATTTCTGATTGAAAGGATGAAAAAACTTGTGCAGTTTGTTCACAACCAAGGGATCCACCTCAGGATGTATCCGTCCTTTACTGCCTGCCAGACACTTGTTAAATACAATGTTAAACCGTAGACAATAAAATCCCCTGGTGGCATTAAAGTATAAATTATACTGGCTTATTCTGGGGGGCAGATTCAGAAACTTCTCCACTAACTGCAGTTCAGGTAATGGCTCAGTTATCAGTCGATCACCATCCACAATGTGAAATTGCTCAATGGGAAAGTACTTGAGCCACCTCTCAAGGTGTTTTGTGTATATACTAGTTCTCACAGCCTTGTATTTAGTATTTACCTCACAGGTAGTGGGGTCAATTGCAAGCTTCTCAAATTTGTAGTAGGTTTTATTCTTCCTTTCCTTGCCCTCCAGGACCTGAGTGTAATCTGAAATGGCTCGGGTTGTTGGCTCACGTACAATGATCAACAATTTGATGGATGAGTTCATTTTGTAAATTCTTTCGGGGACTTCCTCTGTGATGAAGTATGCTGGGCTTTTCTCAATAGTGATCTGATAGGGATAGGAAAAGGGCATTTTCTTCCGGTACCATTCAATACCCTTAGCATAGTTTTCATCGTTGTCGAAGAAGTGGATTTCCTGTGAGGCTTTGACCACAGCTGGGTGTAAGTTCAGCATTTCGAGAAGGGCGCGTGTCCCACCCTTGCGGACACCGATAATAATGGCCTGGGGAAGCTGTTGTACCATGTTGTGTAGTCTGATTTGTTCCTTTGTTACATTGCCTTTGCGTAAATCATGTGACAATCCTCGTTTGTACTGTAATGCCCGAAGCATGATTTGCTCTTGGTCCCCAAACTGACCTTCTATGGGACATGTGGGCTGGAGTCTGGAATGAAACAAATATGGTCAGAACAATAAAGCAAAGAACTGCTGATGCTGGAAATCTAAAACAAAAACAGAAATTTCTGGAGAACCGCAGCAGGTCTGGCAGCAACTGTAGAGGGAAAGCAGACTTAATGTTTCCTGTCCATTGACCATTCAGAACTAAATTCTGAGTAAGGGTCATTGACTCCAAATGTTAACTCTGTTTCCTGTCCACAAATGCTGCCAGAACTGCTGAATTTCACCAGCAATTTCTGTTTTTGTTAAACTGGGTCAGTATAATGTCCATTAATACACCTGTGATAACTTAACCAACATAGACTTTGAAGTGAGGCATTGAAAATATGTACATAATGACATTTAAGATTTTCAATTCACATTATGTTGTAATGACATCCATTATCAAAAGTTATCAAAATATCTTTTAGTTGAAGTTATGCTTAATCCTGGGTGTTGCCTTAATAAATGGCTATGCTTTCAGAGAAGAATGTTACAATAGTAATACAAGCATACGTTCTTTTTCAATATAATTCTAAATTATAAATGATTCAGTTTTGGGGGAGCTTGGACATTATCACAAATCTCTGTGAAGACTGAACCTGTAGATCACCAATTAGGTATGCTGTTCTTTTTCTTTTCATGGGGAGCATTTTCATCTTCATTATCAAGTGGTAAGGGGCAATGTAGATCACTGGCTATTCTGTTGAAAGCAGATGTATCCTGCAACAACTGCACAATACTTTCCAACACATTTCTGTTCAGGAAGGCTATTGGGCCTTTTGGGCTAATTTTTTTTTAGGAAAATCATGGCCTTCACATCTTATGATAAACATGCTATTTTTAGTAAGAGAACACTAGTCACATCATAATTATTTCAGAATATAAATCCCATTCATCAACCTTGCTGACTGAATGAAAAAATGTGCAGAGTTTGACAGTAACAATGGAGTAATAAACTAGGGAAAATAGAGAGCACGGCTAATATTTAATACTGCAGTATTAAATAATGTGTACTCAATTTTCCAGAAGCTGTTTAGCATGCATACCACTTATTTTGTGATTATAAATTTTAATATATCAGTAGATTTGCTGTCAATTTTCTAAAAGTGGATTAATTTTGCATATAAATGGGACAGAACTTTTTATTGTCAAGTGCCAACATGTTTTTGTTGCAATATAAATATGAATTCAGCAACCCCCTCCCCATTTGTGTCACTTGCAATGCTGTTACTTATGTACCAGTTGAACTCCAAGGGACCAAACAGGGTGATTCAACATTAGGAATATGTTAGCACTATTATTTTTGAACTGCTATCTCTTCATACCTGTAAACGAATAGAAGAGTATAGCAGAGTGGAAACTTAAATTAAGATGATGAAAAATTGTTCCTAGATATAAGAATATTTACTTATGGGTGAAGCAGGAAGTATATTTCACAAAGTCACTATTTTATGCATCTATGCATACAGAAAAACACCATGAGATTGATTTAAATACCTTGCATTTAACATAGTCAGGGCAGTACTGGGTCACTTACAATACTATTTAAAATGGTGCTTTGACTTTCACCATCGCGACTAACATCCTAAAATGCCAGACTGTTTCAGGAAGTTACCTTTCTGGTCGCCCTTCTGTAGGAAAGATGTTGTTGAAATTGAGAGGGTGCTGAAAGGGGACTGGAAGGTTTGAGCTATAGGGAGAGGCTGGATAGGCTGAGGCAATTTTCCTTGGAATGTTGGGGGCTGAGGGGGTGACCTTATAGAGATTTACAAAATCATGAGGGGCACAGATAAGGTGAACAGCCAAGGTCTTTTTCCTCGGGCGGGGAGTCCAAAACTAGAGGGTATAGATTTAAGGTGAGAGGGGAAAGATTTAAAAAGGGCCTGCGGGGTAAATTTTTCAAGCAGAGGGTGGTGTGTGTATGGAATGAGTTGCCAAAGGAAGTGGTGGTTGTGAGTACAATTAGAACATTTAAAAGGCATCTGGATGGTTATATGAATAGGAAGGGTTTTGAGGGAAATGGGCCAAATGCTGGCCAATGGGACTATGGGATCAGGTTAGGATCAATGGTCGGCACAATTGAGTCGGACTGAAGGGACTATTTTGGTGCTGAATAACTGTATGACTCTATGACCCCTGTGCAGTTTTGATGCCATCACTGCTGTCATCAAACGGAAATAATGTTAATCGCAAACAGACTGTTTAACGTTAAGAGGCACGACCTGCCTTGTTAAAGAGCTCACTGTAATCAAATCCAAAAATGGCCCAGGATTGTTTCATACCTTTTCTAACTGAGGTTCTATCCCTTGGTTGGCTCAACATCCTGTCTTCCAAAGTTTGATGAGCAGCAGAAGGCTACCTGCTTTATTGGCCCAAGCGGTGGGATGGAGGGGTCAGTGCGGAATGATCCAGACTGCACTCTGTTAACAGCTGGCAGGTATCTCCCATCACCTATCCATTAGCTGCCTAAGGGTAAAATTGTCCCCAGTCTATCTGACAGAGATAGCTGATGTTTTGCAGTTTTGATGTAAAGGTTGGTTTTAGGCAGAAGTAATGCCATCATTTTGGGGAGGAAAGGAAATTAGGGACAAGTGCCATAAGGTGTACGTTAACTGTTGGTTAAAAGAGTGGGAAGTACTTGAAGAAGAAGCAATAGGCATTGAGGGATTGAAAGGCTAGGGAGGAAAATTCTGGAGTACAGTGCTGCTGAAGATCAATCCTGTATTGTTGTTTATTTTAGCTACACAAATAATTTCAATTCATTGATTAAACAAATAAAGACGTGGGATAAATGTTGAAAGTTAATTTTCAAAAATCTCACTAAGTGGAAAGATTAAGTCTTTTGCAATTGTCAAAGTACTTCTTATAGCCTGTGACTGCCACTGACGTACATCAATTATTTCTGACACAGTTCTGGTGACCTGTGGGGCTCAATTTTATGTTAGTGGCGGGGACCCCCACAGCTCCTCCTCTCCAACCCTGACAGTGCAGAAGTCATGAGTGACAATGATTGAACTTGGTCATAACACCTCACAGACATTAATGTCTGTCACTTGGCTTGAAGCCGGCTTTCTGGCTGTATCACATAGGAAGTCCAGCCTCTGAGAGTTGTTGACCAGTCAAATGACCAACAGGCCTTTTGTCCCATGAGCCATGGCCACAGCTGGTACTCCAAATAGTCCTGGAGAAGAGGCACCAGACAAAGAAGTAAGCTTGATGTTTCACCAGGGTCAGGCTGACCGGTCTGTTTGGTGCCAAGATCATCAGCATTGAGGGGGAAAAAAAAAAGCCCAGGTTTCACCTGGCAGGCTGTACAAGTGTTGCTGCCTTCTGCTGCCGTGGGTTGCAGGAGAAGGCCCTTAAATGGCAATTAATTGAATCTATTCAAAACCAATTGAGACAGATTTTTTGATTGATAAAGGAATCAAATGTCTTGGGGTCAGACAGTAAAGTGGAGTTAATGTCACAATCAGATTAAATCTAATCGTATTGAATGGCAGAGCAGCTCAAGAGGCTACTACTTCTCCTACTTCTTATGATATTATGAATTATGTTGTTGTTCCTTCACTGTCACCAGATCACAATGCTGGAAATCTCCCTATGTCAATGCTGTAAGTGCACCTACATCACATAGACGGCTTCAGTTCTCACCATAGTTCACAAGGGTACTTAGAGATTAGCATTAATGTTGGGCTTGCCAGTGACGTTCAAATTCCCTGAAAAGAACTAAACAAAATGTTGCTCAAATTCTCTTAACATTAAACCTACAACAATAGGAACAAATAAACCTTTGATTACTGGAACTGAGAGTGAAGTGTCCCATATTCAGTAATTTGTTTCAAACTTACATTCATTAGGAATAGATAACTGTCTATGGTAGAATGATCTAATCATTACCAACTCAAGGCAACGCCTATCTTCTCAGAATGCAATTTAAATATCAAGAAATACAATGCTTTCTTAGAGGGAACACATGCTAAGATATTGGAATTAGATTGTATTAGTTGATATAGGCTGATAACTAAACTATCAGGACTCTGTTGACTGAATGAATGGTTCTAGCCTGACCTTTAATGTAGTTAATGGGCAATTCCCAATAAATGTGTTTGAAAGGCCTACCCCTTCCATAGAAGTCATTTTGTTTTGGACAACATGCAGATTCCTTGCATAAAAGCAAAATACCATAGATGCTGGAGATCTGAAACAAATATAGAGAATGCTGCAGTAACTCAACAGGTCTGTCAGCATCTGTGCAGAGAGAAACAGTGTTAATATTTCAAGTCCAGAATGACTCTTCTTTGGACGAGCTGTTTAGCTGTTCTTGTCACCAGTCATTGGTGACCTCAGTGAATAAGTAAGCAACTTTACCTTTCTTACTTTCTTCATTGAAGGGGTGAGTCTTCTCAAAAGATGAAACAGAGACTTCACTATCACATGTACAGGAAAGTCTAAGATCCCTGCCTCTGCTAAATGAATGACATCAGTGATGGACACTTTTAGACTAAAGAGCGGGTCATTTAGGACTGAAATGAGGCAAAATTACTTTATTGACCATGTTGTGAATCGATGGAATTCTCTATACAAGAAAGTTGTGAATGCTCCATCATTGAATACATTTAAGGTTGAGAAGACAGATTTTTGGTGTTTCAGGGAATTAAGGGATATGGGGAGCAGGCAGGAAAATAAAGTTGAATTTCAATGTCATGATTGTATTAAATGACAGAACAGGTTTGACAGATCTCCATAACCTGCTCCAGGAAAGCCATCTCTATTGAAATAGGAGGCAAAATGTTAGCAAGCCTGAAATATCAGTCCAATTGGAACTTAAATATTTGAATTATTAGCCATAGGGATTGGATTTTCCTTACACGTATGATACATTTAAATACTTCTTTTTCACTTAGTCACCAAAACTGGACATAATATTCAAGATATGGCATAACTAGAGCACAGCAAAGTGTAAATGCTATTCCTTTGACTTATGTTGGACTGTTTGCTAATGTG